GGCAGGAGAGGACGGGGGAGGGCAGGGAAGGACAAGACGGGAGGGGCGGGCAGGGGAAGGAGGAGAGGAGAGGAGAGGGCGGGGAGAGGAGGACACGGGAGGGGCGGGCAGGCCGGCCGGTCCGCTGCTTGCCGGCCCTGGGGCGCCGGTTCCTGGCAGGCGTTGCGCGGCCGCCTCGGCTGGGGTTTCTCGCCCAGACGCTTTTAGGCCGGGGATTCCTGCGGCCCGGCCCGGCCCCACGCACCCGGCCGGGAAGGCGCCGGGCCCCTGACTCACCGCGGGGAGCCCTGGCCCGCCCGCGTGGGGCGCAGGTGGCTGACCTCCGACTTCACGCCCCCGGCTTGCGGGGCGCGGGCCCCGCGGCGGTATACGTGACCCCCGAAGCGCCGAGGTGTCGGCGACCCCGGAAAGCCCCGAGCCTGCTCGGAGCGCGGCGGGGTCTGCGCTGTGGTTGTGTGTCGCCGCTCTCGGGCCTGCGGCAGGCTCCTCGCTGGGCGTCTGTCATTTCACCAAGTTCCCAAGGTTCTCGGCATGGGAGTCCCTGAGCCAGGTGTCTCCAAGTCCTGTCTGAGAACTTAGCAAAACCCTGCACCGCCGGCGCGCCGAGCCCAGGATGCCCGCGCGCGCTGCTGCAGGAGTGCCGCGCCTCTGCTCCCTGTCTCGGCCTGCCCTTTGAGTCCCGTTGCAGAGGTCATGTTTTCCTTGACTGACCGCCGCCTCCAAGCCTCTGGTCATTATCGTGTTACCCTTAGTACTTTTCATAGCAGTGAACCTGATCAGAAACTATCACAGGTATTTGCTTACTTTTTTGTCTGTGTCGCTAAACAGCGAGCTCCTGAGAAAGAAGGGCGTTGTGTGTCCTGTACTAAGACAGCCCTGCGACGTGGGTAGCGCCAAGCAAGCAGGGGTTTAGGAAATATTTATCAGATGAACGAAGGCGTTCTTGCAGGATGAGACAGCAGAGAGGTCCTGAAGATTGTGAACTGTCCTTGTACACCCGTCCTGGGAAACGCAAGGAACTGGAATCCCGCATGAAAGCCATGCCCTCCGCGTGCACCTGCGTTGCTTCCGGAGCACAGGGTGGGCCCAGATTGGTGTGAGCCCTTCCTGCCCTCCTCACCCACCCCAGGCTCCCCCTACCCCCATTTCACTGCTGCTCTCCCCTGGGACAGCACAGCAGGGGAGTCCCAAGCCCGACCTGCTCCTAAGTCTCACCGTGATCTCCAGCAAAAGGACCAACCTCTGATTTAGGTTTTTCAAACTCTAAAGCGAGAGCATCAAGCTTTGCGCTTTGGAAGGTCCTGTCCAGCAAGCAGCAGGCCGCGTCTGTCTCTTCGCCCGCTCTTTGTGCTGGTGTTTCCCCAAGTCAGATGAACTTTCTGGAACACAAGCGGTTCCGAAGTTGGTGCTGGCCTGTAAATGACAAACCCACCAACCTTCTGTCTGCCTCTTGTCTGGAGCACCGGGTCTCTTCCTGCTCTCTCCTTGTACACTTACTTCTTCGTTTCTGTTCACCCGCTGGATATTTGCCCAGAACCCGCAGGGCTGCCTGGTCGCTGTCAGATCAGCGCTCTGAGGGGCAGTCAGGAGGCTCTAGTAAGTCTACATGCTCGTTTCAATGTCTCAGAGTTTCCTTTCTTGCAAAAGAGCCATATTTTAAAATTCATTCTTTGTGTGTGTGGAGGGGTGGCCCTCTCTCCCTCTCACCCCCCTTTCTAGCCCCAGATCCCAGCCTTACCTCTCCAGTGTAACACAGCAGTGATCAGTGTTTCACGTCTTGCAGTTCTATGCCTTTTGTCGTCTGCTTCCTCGGTGTGCAGGGGAGGGAAGAAAGGAAATTCCTAGACACACAGAAGTTTCACATCCAAACTAAAATCTGTGTGCTCATTTGTGTTTTGTCTCACTTGTAAAATGTTTGAAGCCCGATGGGTTTCCACTCGCCTTATGGGGTCACTGCTGTCTTCCTCCCTCTCTCAGCACTGCCAGCGTCACACGTATTGGCCAATGCCCACGTCAGGAAAGCCTCATGTGTCCCATGAGCAGCAGTGTGGAGGCCCACACCTACATGTGGCTAAGGGGCATCTGCGGTGTCTCTAGTGAACAACACCTGTGAACCTTAAGTTGGGGGTGTGCATGAGCCCACAAGCAATGCTAGCCCTTGGAGCTGGCCATAGTGGCAATGTCAGAGAATGCAGGCAGCCCTTTGTCTGGTGAGAACCATCACAAAATCTTCCTCTTGAACGTACTGCGACCAGCGTTGCTCAGCCTCAGCACTATGACATTTGGGGTGAGGTGGATCACCGTGGGGCTGTCCTGTGTGCTGTAGTCGTTTTCAAAGCACCTCTGGCTTCTACTTGTTACATTCCAGCAGCACCGCTGTGGTCATGACATCAGCGACGTCTCCAGCCCCCAGCATCTGGATGGTAAGATGGGGTGGAGTAACTCAAGAATGACTTTCCAATCTCCAGGCTGAGTTGAATCTACACTAATAGATCATGTTCCTTCTCTGTGGAATTCTTAGGTTACACGTCAAATAAGAACAAATTTAAAAACCAGAAGCTAATATAACTGGCACCCCTCCAGTTAATACATGAGCATGATTTTAATACATGAGCATGATTTTCTCCATGACCTTGTAAGAAGGAAAAAAAGACAAGTATCCTAGTATCCTATTAAATAACTAGTGCTTTAGGGGGATTTGTGTATATGATGAATTATTAAACAAAACTTTAAATTCTGATCTTGATGGATGGTGAATGGTGAAGACATATACCATTTCAAACATTTAGTTTTAGGCAACTGGGAGGGTGGCCCATGTAGGAAAAGAAGCATATGTAAATATTTAATAGGGATTATTTCATATTTTTATTTTACATATATTAGTTTACTGTATACATGAACAATCACCTCACTCTTTAACATGTTTAATGAATTAAAATACTGCCACGCTCTCATGACGTGCAAGGATGAAACCGAGTTGGCATCAGGGCAGGGAATGAAATCTGCATGCTGTGTACTACTGACTATGTGTTGTTTATTGGCAGAATTCTATCGGTTCTCTCCCTCAAAACTGTCCAAAGTCTCCGGTGATCTGCATGAGCAGCACCTACTAAAATTCAAAAATACAAACAGAAAACCAGGTTAAAGTGTGGGGAGCTAGTTTAGGGAAAGCATGGCTAAAAGTTAAAGAAAGGGAGATGAATGAGTTGTGGAAAGGCGGAACGAGGGCAGATCTGAACTGCCAGAGCAAAAGCAGGAACGTTTCCAGTTTCTCTGTCATGGTCCAGAGAAGAGGTACTTGGCACTGTGTCCCAGGCTGTGCAGGGCAGCCTGCCCCTAAGGCTGGCCGCTGTGATACATGACCACAACCTATACGGGCCACCAGCTTCCAGACACTCCTAAGAATGGTTTCCTCCTGTCACTTAGAAGGTTTGGGAGCTCAGGGCTCAGGACACAGGGGCCTGAAGAGTGTGGCCTCAGGGAAGAAGAGGGAGGGGAACGGATGTCCAGGTGTGCAGGAGGGCAGAGCCACGGAGCTGAGAAGCTGGGGACAGGTAAGTGAGCGCTGGGGCCAGGCACTTAGCTGGGGTCGATAGTGTCACCCTGTGCAGTCCCAGGTGAGGAGGTCAGCTCAGCAGCAAAGCATTTGTGCCATATACTCAAGGGCCTGGGTTCGACCCCCGGCACCAGAAAAAGAAACTGTAAGGCCCCTGGGAGGGCTGGAGAGGCTGTAGGACCGAAGTCATGAGGCACACTATGAAAGTGTCCTGCAAAGGGGCAATACGGCAGAGTCCTAGTTGTAGACACTGGCTGGAAGGTGACATTGCCGTCAGCCTACACGTCATAACACACACACCTGTGCACTGGCAACACGGCCTTCCCCA